GTAAATTGATCTATTTGAACTTCTATATATATGTAGCCTGGTACGTCATCGGCAAGCAGTATGTGAAGCGGTGTTCCTCTCAGCTTTGTAACGCTTGGCTTCAATGTGCCATACTGTTCTACGTCTTGTTTCGGGAAATGAATAATTGGCAACTCCTCCCGGACTTTGAAGTTCTCCGATTTGCCTTCTCTCTCTCTCTCTCTCTCCCTCTCTCTCTTTCTTTTTCTTGTTTTTATCACTATTTTAATCACGCTGGTATTTCATATTCATGTCTCTTTTGTTTTGTTTTTCTTTAAACTTATGTACTTATATATTGTTTACCACTTCATCATTATTATGTATATCTTTATTTTCAAATCACGAATCGGACGAGGGTGAGTTGCCAGTTCCTTCTTTTCTGAGATGGGACATACTATAGTCCTTTCTTGTGCCTGGTAATCTTGGATAAAATCCTTCTTCAGTCTCTCCCTTTGCCGTTATTCGAAGACCCAACCTTACGAAGCCTTTCTGTAGAATCGCGGGGCTTCTTCGTAAGGGTATAGCGCTCTTTCTCGTCTGAAAAGAGAAATTAAACTAAAATGAACAATCTTATATCTTAAAAATGGCTGGCTTCTCTTTGTTTTCTGAATAATTTCTTTCTTGTCCGGGAAAGACTCCCTTAAATAAATGCCATGAATTGGACAAAATCAGTGTAATAAATATGCAAATGCAATTTACGGACACGAGGCTGTTTAATCACGCTGAGGTATTGTAGTTGAATCCTTCCTTGAATAATAGAAAAAAAACTTCAAATATGAGAAAACTTTCCTTCAATTTCATATTTTTCTAAAGCTGTTAGCACCAAGTTACATCACTTTTTATTTTAGCTTTTAGTAGACGCATCTGAAACAGTGTGTTTTTTTTTGTTTTGTTTTTTTCCTCGTATGTTTACAAGTGGATGATCGGAAGCAGTTGAGATTACGTGTACATATTGGATCATCTATCGGGATTGTCTCTCTTCAGATATATTTTCTTTTCTCTCTTTCTCTGTCTCTTCTTCTTTTGCTTTCTTTCTTTCTCTCTTTTTTGAAGTCTAGTCAAATTGAAACCGCTGTAATGAAATATATAGAGTTTCCTTGTTTAATCAGATATCAGAAACTTTATCTTAAATCCAGGGACTTAAATTTAAAAGTAATCTAACAAATAATCATATTTACCTAACAACAAAAGCCCCCCCCCCAAAAAAAAAAAGAAGAAGAAGAAGAAGAAGAAGAAGAAGAAAGAACTGCAAAGAAAAGAAATAAAATCTCACAAACCGAATGATGTTTTCTCAAGTGTCTTCCCATTCAGCAAGAAAGACATTTTCCTTAAGAAGTTAAAAGACATTCCGCTAGTTTCCGTATGTTAAAGGAATTTACTCGTGTATTACGTCAGTTCCCATCTCTTGAGGGAAAGTCGCCCGACCAGCTATAACCTTTAATCCCAATATCTTGAGTTTGTTTCTTCGCGTTCCATAAAGTCGATTTTATTTACCTTACACTTCATTCACTCACAGCAAATACCTCTTAGGATCACCTCGTAGATATGTCGGATAAGAGGATATTAAGGAAAGTGTGACAGATTGAGAGGCAGTCAAATATCAGGAATAAATTGAGAGAAATTGTTCATGGCGATTTGTCCCTTTGGTCTTTTGTCAACTGAAGGCGTCACCAGTAAGATATCACCGGTTTCTTATCGCTTAATAAAACTTGACTCGATAGTAATCGCAGAGGGAACAAACTTCGTCATTTTTCCCTTTACTATTAGAGGAAGATTTTCGTCGTAGAACTTCCACTTGGGGATTTTTTTTATTTCGTTGAACTTCCACTTATAGGAAGATTTTCGTCGTGGGTCTTCCACTTATAAGAAGTTTTATCTCTGAACTTCCACTTATATGATTTCGTTCGTTTTAGGTCCTCCACTTATATGATTTTTTTTTCGTCGTCGAAATTCTACTTATAGAAAGTTGTTTTTTTTCCGTCATTGTTCTTGCTCTTGTCGATTTATTTTCCTTTCTATTAATCGTTTAGTTACTAATTCGTATAGAATTCTGTTAACGTTGTTGGTAATTTTTTTGTTTGTTTGTTTGTTTTTTTGTAATTTGTTTGATTATGTATCATTAGTTTATCATACTTTTGTTATCCCCATAGTGCACGTTTTCCTTTTTGCTGTTGGTAACCTGTTGACAACAATGTGCCTTTCACGATAACCCTTCCCTTTTACAATAATGTGAAGGGTAATCCTTTGTCCTATGCATTCCCCCCCTTTTCCCCATGAACAAGTTTGAACACATTCCCCTCTCATGGCAACGGAGACAGGCCTTCAATAGCAATATGATTTTTGAACGAGAGAATTGGATGAAGAAGGGGAAAAAAAATAACGTGTGAATGTGTATATGACTATTTTATGATCACACAGCTGACTGCATTAGAGAGACATGGGTCTAAAAAAAAAAGTGGATATGAATTTAGAAATGGATATT